AGAGCTGGAAAGGAGAAGTGGAGGAGCATAGAGCTGGCAGGGAGAAGTGGAGGAGCATAGAGCTGGCAGGGAGAAGTGGATGAGCTTAGAGCTGGCAGGGAGAAGTGGAGGAGCATAGAGCTGGCAGGGGGAAGTGGATGAGCATAGAGCTGGCAGGGATAAGTGGAGAAGCATAGAGCTGGCAGGGAGAAGTGGAGGAGCATAGAGCTGGCAGGAAGAGGTGGATGAGCTTAGAGCTGACAGGGAGAGGTGGAGGAGCATAGAGCTGGCAGGGAGAAGTGGATGAGCTTAGAGCTGACAGGGAGAGGTGGAGGAGCATAGAGCTGGCAAGGAGAAGTGGAGGAGCATAGAGCTGACAAGGAGAGGTGGAGGAGCATGTAGCTGCAGGGAGAAGTGGAAGAGCATAGAGCTGGCAGGGAGAAGTGGAGGAGTATAGAGCTGGCAGGGAGAAGTGGAAGAGTATAGAGCTGGCAGGGAGAGGAGGAGGAGCATAGAGCTGAAAGGGAGAAGTGGATGAGCTTAGAGCTGACAGGGAGAAGTGGAGGAGCATAGAGCTGGCAGGGAGAAGTGGATGAGCTTAGAGCTGGCAGGGAGAAGTGGAGGAGCATAGAGCTGGAAGGGAGAAGTGGAGGAGCATAGAGCTGGCAGGGAGAAGTTAATGAGCATAGAGCTGGCAGGGAGAAGTGGAGGAGCATAGAGCTTCAGAGAGAAGTGGAGGAGCATAGAGCTACAAGGAGAAGTGGAGGAGCATAGAGCTGGCAGGGCGAAGTGGAGGAGCATAAAGCTGGCAGGGAGAAGTGGAGGAGCATGGAGCTGGCAGGGCGAAGTGGAGGAGCATAGAGCTGGCAGGGAGAAGTTAATGAGCATAGAGCTGGCAGGGAGAAGTGGAGGAGCATAGAGCTTCAGAGAGAAGTGGAGGAGCATAGAGCTACAAGGAGAAGTGGAGGAGCATAGAGCTGGCAGGGCGAAGTGGAGGAGCATAAAGCTGGCAGGGAGAAGTGGAGGAGCATAGAGCTGGCAGGGAGAAGTGGAGGAGCATAGAGCCGGCAGGGAGAAGTCGAGGAGCATAGAGCTGGCAGGGAGAAGTGGAGGAGCATAGAGTTGGAAGGGAGAAGTGGAGGTGCATAAAGCTGGCAGAGAGAAGTGGAGGAGCATAGAGCTGGCAGGGAGAAGTGGAGGAGCATAAAGCTGGCAGGGAGAAGTGGAGGAGCATGGAGCTGGCAGGGCGAAGTGGAGGAGCATAGAGCTGGCAGGGAGAAGTTAATGAGCATAGAGCTGGCAGGGAGAAGTGGAGGAGCATAGAGCTTCAGAGAGAAGTGGAGGAGCATAGAGCTACAAGGAGAAGTGGAGGAGCATAGAGCTGGCAGGGCGAAGTGGAGGAGCATAAAGCTGGCAGGGAGAAGTGGAGGAGCATAGAGCTGGCAGGGAGAAGTGGAGGAGCATAGAGCCGGCAGGGAGAAGTCGAGGAGCATAGAGCTGGCAGGGAGAAGTGGAGGAGCATAGAGTTGGAAGGAGAAGTGGAGGTGCATAAAGCTGGCAGAGAGAAGTGGAGGAGCATAGAGCTGGCAGGGAGAAGTGGAGGAGTATAGAGCTACAGGGAGAAGTGGAGGAGCATAGAGCTGGCAAAGAGAAGTGGAGGAGCATAGAGCTGGCAGGGAGAAGTGGAGGAGCATAGAGCTACAGGGAGAAGTGGAAGAGCATACAGCTGGCGGGGAGAAGTGGAGGAGCATAGAGCTGGCAGGGAGAAGTGGATGAGCTTAGAGCTGGCAGGGAGAAGTGTAGGTGCATAGAGCTGGCAGGGAGAAGTGGAGGAGCATAGAGCTGGCAAGGAGAATTAAAGGAGCATAGAGCTGGCAGAGATAAGTGGATGAGCATAGAGCTGGCAGGGAGAAGTGGATGAGCTTAGAGCTGACAGGAAGAAGTGGAGAAGCATAGAGCTGGCAGGGAGAAGTGGAGGAGCATAGAGCTGCAGGGAGAAGTGGAGAAGCATAGAGGTGGCAGGGAGAAGTGGATGAGCTTAGAGCTGGCAGGGAGAAGTGGAGGAGCGTAGAGCTGGAAAGGAGAAGTGGAGGAGCATAGAGCTGGCAGGGAGAAGTGGAGGAGCATAGAGCTGGCAGGGAGAAGTGGATGAGCTTAGAGGTGGCAGGGAGAAGTGGAGAAGCATAGAGCTGGCAGGGGGAAGTGGATGAGCATAGAGCTGGCAGGGATAAGTGGAGAAGCATAGAGCTGGCAGGGAGATGTGGAGGAGCATAGAGCTGGCAGGGAGAGGTGGAGGAGTATAGACATGGCAGGGAGAAGTGGATGAGCTTAGAGCTGGCAGGGAGAAGTGGAGGAGCGTGGAGCTGGAAAGGAGAAGTGGAGGAGCATAGATCTGGCAGGGAGAAGTGGAGGAGCATAGAGTTGGCAGAGAGAAGTGGATGAGCTTAGAGCTGGCAGGGAGAAGTAGAGGAGCATAGAGCTGGCAGGGAGAAGTGGAGGAGCATAGAGTTGGCAGGGAGAAGTGGAGGAGCATAGAGCTGGAAGGGAGAAGTAGAGGAGCATAGAGCTGGCAGGGAGAAGTGGAGGAGCATATAGCTGGCAGGAGAAGTGGAGGAGCATAGAGCTGGCAGGGTGAAGTGGAGGAGCATAGAGCTGGCATGGAGAAGTGGAGGAGCATAGAGCTGGCAGGGAGAGGTGGAGGAGCATAGAGCTGGCAGGGAGAGGTGGAGGAGCATAGAGCTGGCAGGGAGAAGTGGATGAGCTTATAGCTGACAGGGAGAGGTGGAGGAGCATAGAGCTGGCAGGGAGAAGTGGAGGAGCATAGAGCTGACAAGGAGAGGTGGAAGAGCATAGAGCTGGCAGGGAGAAGTGGAGGAGCATAGAGCTGATAAGGAGAGGTGGAGAGGCATAGAGCTGACAAGGATAGGTGGAGGAGCATAGAGCTGGCAGGGAGAAGTGTAGGAGCATAGAGCTGACAGGGAGAAGTGGAGGAGCATAGAGCTGGCAGGGAGAAGTGGAGGAGCATAGATTGGTAGGGAGAAGTGGAGGAGCATAGAGCCGACAAGGCGAGGTGGAGGAGCATAGAACTGGCAGGGAGAAGTGGAGGAGCATATGCTGACAAGGATAGATGGAGGAGCATAGAACTGACAAGGAGAAGTGGAGGGCATAGAGCTGACAAGGAGAAGTGGAGGAGCATAGAGCTGGCAGGGATAAGTGGATGAGCATAGAGCTGGCAGGGAGAAGTGGATGAGCTTAGAGCTGACAGGGAGAAGTGGAGAAGCATAGAGCTGGCAGGGAGAAGTGGAGGAGCATAGAGCTGCAGGGAGAAGTGGAGGAGCATAGAGGTGGCAGGGAGAAGTGGATGAGCTTAGAGCTGGCAGGGAGAAGTGGAGGAGCGTTGAGCTGGAAAGGAGAAGTGGAGGAGCATAGAACTGGCAGGGAGAAGTGGAGGAGCATAGAGCTGGCAGGGAGAAGTGGATGAGCTTAGAGCTGGCAGGGATAAGTGGAGGAGCATAGAGCTGGCAGGGGAAGTGGATGAGCATAGAGCTGGCAGGGATAAGTGGAGAAGCATAGAGCTGGCAGGGAGAAGTGGAGGAGCATAGAGCTGGCAGGGAGAGGTGGAGGAGCATGTAGCTGCAGGGAGAAGTGGAGGAGCATAGAGCTGGCAGGGATAAGTGGAGGTGCATAGAGCTGACAAGGAGAAGTGGAGGAGCATAGAGCTGGCAGGGATAAGTGGATGAGCATAGAGCTGGCAGGGAGAAGTGGATGAGCTTAGAGCTGACAGGGAGAAGTGGAGAAGCATAGAGCTGGCAGGGAGAAGTGGAGGAGCATAGAGCTGCAGGGAGAAGTGGAGGAGCATAGAGGTGGCAGGGAGAAGTGGATGAGCTTAGAGCTGGCAGGGAGAAGTGGAGGAGCGTAGAGCTGGAAAGGAGAAGTGGAGGAGCATAGAGCTGGCAGGGAGAAGTGGAGGAGCATAGAGCTGGCAGGGAGAAGTGGATGAGCTTAGAGCTGGCAGGGAGAAGTGGAGGAGCATAGAGCTGGCAGGGGGAAGTGGATGAGCATAGAGCTGGCAGGGATAAGTGGAGAAGCATAGAGCTGGCAGGGAGAAGTGGAGGAGCATAGAGCTGGCAGGGAAGAGGTGGATGAGCTTAGAGCTGACAGGGAGAGGTGGAGGAGCATAGAGCTGGCAGGGAGAAGTGGATGAGCTTAGAGCTGACAGGGAGAGGTGGAGGAGCATAGAGCTGGCAAGGAGAAGTGGAGGAGCATAGAGCTGACAAGGAGAGGTGGAGGAGCATGTAGCTGCAGGGAGAAGTGGAGGAGCATAGAGCTGGCAGGGAGAAGTGGAGGAGTATAGAGCTGGCAGGGAGAAGTGGAAGAGTATAGAGCTGGCAGGGAGAGGAGGAGGAGCATAGAGCTGACAGGGAGAAGTGGATGAGCTTAGAGCTGACAGGGAGAAGTGGAGGAGCATAGAGCTGGCAGGGAGAAGTGGATGAGCTTAGAGCTGGCAGGGAGAAGTGGAGGAGCATAGAGCTGGAAGGGAGAAGTAGAGGAGCATAGAGCTGGCAGGGAGAAGTGGAGGAGCATAGAGCTGGCAGGGAGAAGTGGAGGAGCATAGAGCTGGCAGGGTGAAGTGGAGGAGCATAGAGCTGGCATGGAGAAGTGGAGGAGCATAGAGCTGGCAGGGAGAGGTGGATGAGCATAGAGCTGGCAGGGAGAGGTGGAGGAGCATAGAGCTGGCAGGGAGAAGTGGATGAGCTTATAGCTGACAGGGAGAGGCGGAGGAGTATAGAGCTGGCAGGGAGAAGTGGAGGAGCATAGAGCTGACAAGGAGAGGTGGAAGAGCATAGAGCTGGCAGGGAGAAGTGGAGGAGCATAGAGCTGATAAGGAGAGGTGGAGAGGCATAGAGCTGACAAGGATAGGTGGAGGAGCATAGAGCTGGCAGGGAGAAGTGTTGGAGCATAGAGCTGACAGGGAGAAGTGGAGGAGCCTAGAGCTGGCAGGGAGAGGTGGAGGAGCATAGATCTGGTAGGGAGAAGTGGAGGAGCATAGAGCCGACAAGGCGAGGTGGAGGAGCATAGAACTGGCAGGGAGAAGTGGAGGAGCATAGAGCTGACAAGGATAGATGGAGGAGCATAGAACTGACAAGGAGAAGTGGAGGAGCATAGAGCTGACAAGGAGAAGTGGAGGAGCATAGAGCTGGCAGGGAGAGGTGGAGGAGTATAGAGCTGACAGGGAGAAGTTGAGGAGCATAGAACTGACAAGGAGAGGTGGAGGAGCATAGAGCTGGCAGGGAGAAGTGGAGGAGCATAGAGCTAATAAAAGAGGTTGTGAATGTTAGGTGATCTTATTGTGTCAAGAATGGTTGCTGGAATAATTATTACTTTGGGAAATTGCTGAGGGATGGAGGACAAGAGTACCAGATTTAGGGAAGATGGAAGGAGAGAGTACAATAGCAAGACTCACTGCTGGAAGGCGTCTGGAAGTTAGGGTCGGCCTTGTAGGCGAGTAGTTCCTCCACCACCTGCAGGTGACCGTTCCAGGTGGCGTACAACAACGATGTGAAGCCTGAAGCAAGACACTGTACTGAGGTGGTGCACAGAGGGAAATTATGAGGGAGAAAGAGCGAGAGAGAGAGAGAGAGAGAGAGAGAGAGAGAGAGAGAGAGAGAGAGAGAGAGAGAGAGAGAGAGAGAGAGAGAGAGAGAGAGAGAGAGAGAGAAGAGAGAGAGAGAGAGAGAGAGAGAGAGAGAGGGAGGGAGGGAGAGATGAATGGGGTTACTAGGACTGGAAGAGAATGAGTAATAATAACAATAATAAAATTAATAATAATGATCACCACCACCGCCTGCTGCTGCTTTCACCACTACTATCACTCACTGCTACTACAATCAGTGTTTCTATCACGAACACTTCCTGTATTCACCTTGGATAGTAGGAACATCAGGTCTTGCTCCGTTCCTCAGCAACTGCTTCACCACAGTCAGGAAACCTTCCTTAGCTGCCAGGAATACTGCCGTCACGTCTGTGTAGAGGTACATTGTTAGTGGTCTCTTAGTGGCATGTTAGTGTTAGTGGTGTTGCTAGTCGCGTGGTCAATGGGGGTGTCAGTGTGGCAATTGTATGAGGACGTGTTTGGCTAGTAGGGCAGTTATCAGTATAGTTAGACGTGTAGTTAGTGGCGTGTGAAAGTGTATGGTGGTAGCGTGCAAGAGTGACCTTGATGTGGTGTTTTACACAGGTGGACACCAGCACCACCAGCACCACCACCAGTACCACCAGCACCACCACCACCAGTACCACCACCACCACCAGCAGTCTCACGTACCTGCATAACTTTTACTGTTGACATCTGCACCGTTGCTGAGGAGTGTAGCCACCATTTGCGAGCTGTTGCTTGCTGCTGCCCACATCAACGCTGTGTAGCCTCTGTACCAGCCTACACCAACACCCAGAAAACACGACAAACACAGCCATTAGAGCGAGTAATATGTAAAAACAACAAGCGGAAGACAATCATGAAACACAAACAAAACAAATATATCAACGACAATCTCAGTGCTACATCAATAATAACTTTAAAACTACAGCCACCTGGGCAGTGTGGAATAGTTCATACGTCTGTAGAGCTCTCTGAGAGTACAGTAATAAATAGAGGCAAGATACGCACCTGTCTTCTCAGCGTAGTTGACGTCCACTCCTGGACGTCGTAGGATTTTGGTCACCCTCCCAGTTTCTCCCCTTGAAGCAGCCCTCAACAACGCCACACCTGCAAGCGCACAAACCTGTAGCTTCACAACACACCTGTATTTCCAGCACACATGTTCATTTAGCCAAACACACTACCCTATAACTGTAGCATATTTGGACTTTTACTAAACACCTGAATTCAGAAAGCCAGTTAAACATGTCTCCGCAGGACACACACACACACACACACACACACACACACACACACACACCTGTACCTCAACATGCTTGTCAAGGTCTAGTGAGTATCCTAAGTGTAGTGACATATGCCTAGAAGAACTTATATTTTAACATAGCGGGGCAAAACAACTAGTCGTTTCCCTGTACTGCTGCATCATACAGGATGGCTTACATATATGAATGAAATGGGTCATCCTGAGTAGGATATCGTAAGATGAGGATATCGTCAACATTCTACTGGGGGTTCAGTAGCTACTGTAGCTTCAGAGCTACAGTTGCTCTTCTCTGAAATGACGCAAACGGATTTAGTCCTTTTTCGTGAATATGATAATGAAGTTTTTTGTTTGTGTGTGCACTGCTGTCTGCCAAATATACCTGGAGGGTGAGGTGAGGGCGGATACACACCAGCCAGTTCATTATTTTTGTCAGTATGATGATACCAGCTGGTCTGGGGGTATGATCTAAGTGGTCTGCAGTATGATGATACTCACCAGCTGGTCTGCGGCCAGGGACAGTCTGAGGTGGAACGGCCGCTACTGTTATTGTCACAACCATTACATACAGCAATGGTCTCCCACAAGACTCCATATTTGAGCGTGATGCCACCCAGCAGCAGCAGCAGCAGCAGCAGCAGCAGCACCAGCAGCACCAGCAGCAGCACCAGCAGCACCAGCAGCAGCAGCAGCAGCAGCAGCACCAGCAGCACCAGCAGCAGCAGCAGCAGCGCCTTCTCAGCCACAACGGGTGACGAAACAAATGTATTCAGGGGAACTCAATAATCAGTCCATCTTCTTTTACAACAAAGATGCTGGACTAATCACTTCATCTTTGCTCTCCACTACTTCTGATATCGGAAACAAAGATAAAACGTCGTACATAAACTCACCAACCTGTCGGTATTCTGTCTAATGTTTAAAAATTATATTCTTATAAGCATTCTTGAAGAACCTTTGAAAATTCATCAAGACAAGAAGTAGAAAAGATGTACAGATCATGGTGAGGGACCTTCAAGGAAACACATGCTGGTAAAGGGCTCTTGATCCAAGGCTCTTGAAGGGTATCTTCATAATGGTAAAAGGCTCTCGATCAAACAAATTGAATCTCCCCTGCCGTTCCTTAGGTCAAACCTTATGACCTTTAATTCCCCCCAGGCATTTGTTGACCCTTCAAGGCTTGGAGAGAGAACCTTTAACATCGTGGAGGAGATGACCGGCGGAGACACTGTTACACTCACGTCTGGGATCCAGTCTCTCACCGGAAGCGGAAGCTGGTGATTTCAACACTTGCATGTGGATAAAGGTGAAGGGGAGGCGGGGGGAGGAAGGGACAGGGGGGGAGGAGGAAGGGATGGAAGAGTGGGGAGGTAGACGAAAGGAAAGTAAAGGGTAAGCTTAGATAGAAAGAGAGAGGCAGAGAGCAGAGGAGTTGACGAGAGAGGGAGAAAGAGGCAGAATGGGAAGTAGAGAGAGTGAAAGGGAGACAAAGAGGGAAAAAAGGTAGAGGGGTAGAAGAAAGGGACTGGTAAACATAACACAGGAGAGGTAAGAGTGAGGTAAGGAAGGTGGAATGATAATCAGAACATGTAGAAATATGGGACACACAGACTTACACCAGAGGGCGAGGCAGTGTACAGATTTACACCAGGAGGCAGTACACAAACTTGCACCGAGGGGGCAGTGCACAGACTTACACTAGGGGACAGTACACAGACTTACACCAGGGAACAGTGCACAGACTTACACCAGGGAACAGTGCACACTTACACCAGGGGACAGTACACAGATTTACACCAGGGGACAGTACACAGACTTACACCAGGGAACAGTGCACAGACTTACAACAGGGGACATTGCACAGTCTTACACCAGTAAAGTTTTGATTTAATTATGGCACCATGACCTTCCCTTAATTTGTGTGTTGAAGTTGGCGGGTAAGTTAAGTTTGAAGACTATCTACTACACGAGGATCATTAAGATTGCATGTCACCTGTACACCACCAGTCACTACACCAGGGTCATTAAGACTGCGTATCACCTGTACACCAGTCAAAGGATGTTTCATGTCTAAAATAGTGATAAAATCAAGTCTCAGAGACAAACATCTCTATATATCCTTCAAGCACTGTGTGTGTTGATGATCAAGTGTTCTTGATGATTTTTTACTCCCTCGAGCTGCGTCACTCCTACGGGTTTATCGTGTCTGCAAAACAGAAGATATCCTAAAAGCAAATGAATACAGGGTATGTGTTGTTCTAGCCAGGGTATAATGTGTTGCAGTGAGTGTGTGTTGATGGATTTAGGGACTTACCTCGACGTTTAGACTATAGTTAATACGACCCGAGGACAACTCCAGAACGACCCGAAGACGGTTCCAGAATGACTCGAGGGCGACTCCAGAAAGACCCGAGGACGGTTCCAGAACGACCAGAGGACGATTTTAGAACCGCCTGAGGACTACTCCAGAACGACCCGAGGACGGTTCCAGAACGACCCGAGGACGACTCCAGAACCACCCGAGGATGGGGTGGGAACCTACATAGACGGCTGCAGCAGCTACACAGGGCGACCAGCTGTGAGAGCCGTGGGTGCTCCACTAACCTGTCTCCCCCGCCCATACTCCGCCCTTCATTGTTTCCTTCCACACGCCCACACATCACGCCCACACACCCACGCCCTTATTGTGTTCACAGCTTTTTCACCTCTCGTAGACATACTTCACGCTACATATGCCCTTTCCTCGCCCACCCTACTAAAGAAACAATTGGTTCCTCAGTCGTTCAGTCAGCCTCTCCTGGAATGTACTCCAGCACTCCCCCAGACTCCTCACGTACCTGTGCAACACTTCTCTACCTCACGTCAAACAACACTAACACTTCCCTCTCTCACAGACAAAGTTATCACTTCATTATGTCAGTATTTACATAGTCTTTCCTGCACTAAATTGAAAACCCTCCGTCTGACTGTGCTTCACCACCACATCCGTCAAAGAACAAACACAAGCTATTGGAAAAACTTGACATCAATTACCCTTTGTAAGATTGTGGGATGTCACGACCTCGGAGCCCTCGGTCTGCTGCAGAGGAACTCTTTAATATTTTGAAAATTCAGCTTCCACTCAAGCTTCTTGTCCCTTGTATAATGTATTACATATCTTCATTGTCACTCGTTCCCTTCACGAAGGGCACCCCAATCCTCCCTCTCCCTATATAACCATATCTGTAACCCTCGACAGTCACCTCTCCATGCAACCCAAACACGGCTTTCAATACATCCTGCCGAAATGCTTCTCCAAGACAGTTGTATCCACATTACCCACTACTGCCAGACACCTACTGCCTTCCATTCTCAGCAGTCCAGAGTTCACCCCATCAGTACCAGACGATAAAGGGGTCCTGCGAACTTGCATACAAAATCTGGGACACCCGGCAACCTTGACGATATCCCTTACCCATCCCTACCTCCCACTCAAACCTCCCATTAATCTATCCCAACTATTCTGTTCTTATATAAAGTGGCCACCCACTTCACCACCTCCCCAAAACCTCAAGCCTCTAACATCCTCCCCAGTGTATCACTTAAATCGAAGCTTAAGCCTCGTTTCAGTCTATGGACACTAATGCCTCTCCTCACCTCCCTTCCTCGCTGCCTTTATATCTCCAATCACAATAATTGCCCGTCACCATTGACCTCCAGGAGGAGAAATGCCTCGGCTCGCCCCCTCTCCTCATTTTCCTCAGTGAGACAACCATCCTCCTTATGATAACTGCAGTCACCTACCATGAAAGCAAACCTCAGTCGGGAGCCGAGATCATAACGAAATATTAACAAAAACTCATTCTTCACCCTCACATTACCTTCCCTTGGCACACAATTATTACTGAATAATGACCGTGTTACTCACACACACACACACACACACACACACACACACACACACACACACACAACATGCTAATATTTCCCCCTACTCTCACTTCTCTGCAACATACTGAGAATTGCAACGTCTCCTTTCAGAGGAACCAGGTAAGTCAGATATCCCTGTACATGGAGGACCTGTCCTTTTATTCTATATTTCTGCAGATCCACCACATTCATCCCAGTTCTTTTACTCTTACTAACAATCCATTCTCATTTATGCTCATTAATTTTAGAGCAAGTCATTCCTGTCAGATTTGATCTTCGCTCTTTTCCCTTCCTTCACATTTCTGCAAAATTATTGGACATGACACTCCGTCTTACTTCCCGCATCTCTCTTACGTCTGCGCCTCTTCGCCTCAGCCTTCGGCTTCTTTTCCGAGGTGGGGCTGCCCCAGCGTTGCATTCATCACTGAGTAGTCGGCTTTTTGACGGTCACGCTTTTCCCCGTAATCTTATAACACATACCTGGAACTCCACACCAATACTAGTGTTGTCTCTGCTAAATTTCACTCCTCTTTCAGTGTTGGGACCAAGTGGCTCGTACTGTCGTACAGGACTCACTCCATTCCTCCCCCGTAACCTCTCACACTAGCATCTTTACCTCATTCGCCTACCCTGATGTCTACTCGACCTCCACCTGCCCTGCTGAAAGTGTCACCAAGCTTGTGAATGTCCCATCTTGTAAGCTGACAGTGTCATCATGCTTGTGAATGTTCCATCTTGTAAGCTGACAGTGTCATCATGCTTGTCAGTGTCCCATCTTGTAAGCTGACAGTGTCACCATGCTTGTCACTGTCCCATCTTGTAAGCTGACACTGTCACCATGCTTGTCAGTGTCCCATCTTGTAAGCTGACAGTGTCACCATGCTTGTCACTGTCCCATCTTGTAAGCTGACAGTGTCACCATGCTTGTCAGTGTCCCATCTTGTAAGCTGACAATGTCACCATGCTTGTGAGCACTTAACACTTACTGTGTTAGTGCACCTCATCACTCCTAGTTATTAATGTCACCACCAGGGCGCAACACTCACCTTCCTCCACTCTGTTATAACAGTTATTATCAATGAAGTGAACTTGACGGAGATTACTTGGAGTGGAAAGACAAATTATTATTAAATCAAAGTCAGGATGACACGGCGGCGCCAGAGGACAGAGAGGTAATTATCTATGATGGCAGGAGGGAAGGGTAGATGTAGTTCAGGTCATCAAGAGCCCCTCGCTAGCAGCAAGGTAACCCTTCACTTGCATCAAGAGCCCTTTCGCTAGCATCAAGAGCTCTTCACTAGCATCAAGAGCTCTTCACTAGAATCAAGAGCCCTTCACTAGCATCAAGAGACCTTCACTAGCATCAAGAGCCCTTCACTAGCATCAAGAGCCCCTCGCTAGCATTAAGGTAACCCTTCCTTAGCATCAAGAGCCCTTCACCAGCAACAAGGCAACCCTTCACTATCATCGAGAGCCCTTCATTAGCATCAAGAGCCCTTCACTAGCAACAAGGCAACCCTTCACTAGCATCAAGAACCCTTCACTAGCATCAAGAGCCCCTCGCTAGCATCAAGGTAACCCTTCACTAGCATCAAGAGCTCTTCACTAGCATCAAGAGCCCCTTGATAGCGTCAAGGCAACCCTTCACTAGCATCAAGAGCCCCTCGGTAGCGTCAAGGTAACCCTTCACTAGCATCAAGAACAATTCACTAGCATCAAAAACCCCTCCCTAACGTCAAGGTAATCCTTCACTAGCATCAAGAACCCTTCACTACCATCAAGAGCCCCTCGCTAGCGTTAAGGTAACCCTTCACTAGCATCAAGAACCCTTCACTAGCATCAAAAGCCCTTCACTAGCATCAAGAGCCCCTCGATAGCGTCAAGGTAATCTTTCACTAGCATCAAGAACCCTTCACTAGCATCAAGAACCCTTCACTACCATCAAGAGCCCCTCGCTAGCGTCAAGGTAACATTTCACTAGCATCAAGAGCCCCTCGCTAGCGTGAAGGTAACACTTCACTAGCATCAAGAGCCCCTCGCTAGCGTCAAGGTGACACTTCATTAGCATCAAGAGCCCCTCGCTAGCGTCAAGATAACCCTTCACTAGCATCAAGAGCCCCTCGCTAGTGTCAAGGTAACTCTTCACTAGCATCAAGAGCCCCTAGCTAGCGTCAAGGTAACCCTTCACCAGCATCAAGAGCCCCTCGCTAGCGTCAAGGTGACACTTCACTAGCATCAAGAGCCCATCGCTAGCGTCAAGGTAACCCTTCACCAGCATCAAGAGCCCCTCGCTAGTGTCAAGGTGACCCTTCACCAGCATCAAGAGCCCTTCGCTAGTGTCAAGGTAACCCTGCACCAGCATCAAGAGCCCCTTGCTAATGTCAAGATAACCCTTCACCAGCATCAAGAGCCCCTCGCTAGCGTCAAGGTGACACTTCACTAGCATCAAGAGCCCATCGCTATCGTCAAGGTAACCCTTCACTAGCATCAAGAGCCCCTCGCTAGTGTCAAGGTAACCCTTCACCAGCATCAAGAGCCCCTCGCTAGCGTCAAGGTGACCCTTCAACAGCATCAAGAGCCCCTCGCTAGCGTCAAGGTGACACTTCACAGGCATCAAGAGCCCCTCGCTAGCGTCAAGGTAACCCTTCACTAGCATCAAGAGCCCCTCGCTAACGTCAAGGCAACACTTCACCAGCATCAAGAGCCCCTCGCTAGCGTCAAGGTGACACTTCACTAGCATCAAGAGCCCATCGCTAGCGTCAAGGTAACCCTTCACCAGCATCAAGAGCCCCTCGCTAGCGCCAAGGTAACCCTTCACCAGCATCAAGAGCCCTCGCTAGCGTCAAGGTACACTTCACCAGCATCAAGAGCCCCTCGCTAACGTCAAGGTAACACTTCACCAGCATCAAGAGCCCCTCGCTAGTGTCAAGGTAACACTTCACCAGCATCAAGAGCCCCTCGCTAGCGTCAAGGTAACACTTCACCAGCATCAAGAGCCCCTCGCTAGTGTCAAGGTAACACTTCACCAGCATCAAGAGCCCCTCGCTAGTGTCAAGGTAACACTTCATCAGCATCAAGAGCCCCTCGCTAACGTCAAGATAACACTTCACCAGCATCAAGAGCCCCTCGCTAGCGTCAAGGTTCTGTTGTTCCAAATTTATGTTTTTTTTTTTTTGTAAACTCAAAAATATCTTAATTTTAGTGGACAAATATATATTTCCTGCGACTGATTATAAAATTTTCCTCAAAAAACAAGGTGAAAATTTACGAACTATCAAGTATTTTCCTGTCATGAAAATCCAGAAAATTAACTTTGAAACTCAATAATTATTTCTGATGGAGAGTAAAACATGACTTATTCTTTATTTATTTAATACAACACAGAGACCTAAATCACAGAGACGTAGACCAAGTTATTATTATTATTATTATTATTATTATTATTATTATTATTATTATTATTATTATTATTATTATTATTAATATTATTATTATTATTATTAATAATATTTTACCTTTATTATTATTATTATTATATTAATATTATTATTATTATTATTGTTGTTATTAATATTATTATTTTACCTTTATTATTATTATTATTATTATTATTATTATTATTATTATTATTATTATTATTATTATTGTTATTAATATTAATATTGTACCATTATTATTATTATTATATTAATATTATTATTATTATTATTATTATTTTTGTTACTATTATTATTATTATTATTATTATTATTATTATATTATTATTATTATTATTATTATTATTATTATTATTATTATGTTGTTGTTGTTAATATCATTATTATTTTTACCATTATTATCGAATCAACAAGATTATTATTATTATTATTATTATTATTATTATTATTATTATTATTATTATTATTATTATTATTATTATTATTAAATAATGTAATACAGGCTGGTTAGTAAAGTTTAAAACCTATCTACTACACGAAGGTAATTAAGGCTGCATGTCACCTGTTCATCCCTCACAGGCAAGAATACTTTAATACCTAATGTCGTAAAAGTTATCTCTCAGTGTATATACACTGAGAGATAGAGATATACACCCATCAGTGTATATACACTGAGAGATACACACCCATCAGTGTATATACACTGAGAGATACACACCCATCAGTGTATATACACTGAGAGATAGAGGTATACACCGATTAGTGTATATACATTGAGAGATAGAGGTATACACCGATTAGTGTATATACATTGAGAGATAGAGGTATACACCCATCTGTGTATATATACTGAGAGATATACACCCATCAATGTATATTCACTGAGAGATACACACCCATCAGTGTTTATACACTGAGTTATATATACCCGTCAATGTATATACACTGAGAGAAAATGCCCATCAGTATATATATACACTGAGAGATATACACCCATCAGTATATATACACTGAAAGATACACACCCATCAGTGTATATACACTGAGAGATACACATCCATCAGTGTATATACACTGACAGATACACACCCATCAGTGTATATACACTGAGAGATACACATCCATCAGTGTATATACACTGACAGATACACATCCATCAGTGTATATACACTGAGAGATACACATCCATCAGTGCATATACACTGAGAGATACACACCCATCAGTGTATATACAATGAGAGATACACACCCATCAGTGCATATACACTGAGAGATACACACCCACCAGTGCATATACACTGAGAGATACACACCCATCAGTGTATATACACTGAGAGATACACACCCACCAGTGTATATACACTGAGAGATACACACCCATCAGTGTATATACACTGAGAGATACACACCCATCAGTGTATATATGCAGAGAGATACACACCCATCAGTGTATATACACTGAGAGATACACACCCATCAGTGTATATACACTGAGAGATACACACCCATCAGTGTATATACACTGAGAGATACATACCCATCAGTGTATATACACTGAGAGATACACATCCATCAGTGTATATACACTGAGAGATACACATCCATCAGTGCATATACACTGAGAGATACACATCCATCAGTGTATATACACTGAGAGATACACACCCATCAGTGTATATACAGAGAGATACACACCCATTAGTCTATAATGTACATGTATAGTGTATATTATCAAGTGTTCTACAATATAAATTTGATATATACATTACCCAGCACCATGGGATGACTCAGGGTTGCCACATGTTCCCATCTCTGTGATTTTAGGGATTTTACTTAGGCACTTAATCACAATAATCAATATCACAGAAACACTGATATCATCGGACATATCATACTTGTACGTGATTCATAGTTATCATCCCTCGTTTATTATTCATTGGTTCATTTACAGCTGCACTTGTGAGCAGTTCAGAGCCCAGACAGGTGGCAGGAATTACCTGATTGGTTGATAATGCGTGACGTCACGGGGATCATCCCCAAATCAATGTATTTTGATTGGCTGATGATCGTGACGTCATGACTCACCTCAACAGTGTTGCCACAATAACACTCAAACTCTGTTATATTTAGCATTTCTTGGATAACATGTTATGACGACACAGAGAAAGAACACCAAGCAGAACACACACAGAACCGTTATATATATTACAAAACAGTTCCACAGTTCTGCTGTATCATACAAGTCATCTTTCCTTAAATATTCTCTCATAAACGTATAATATAGAAAAAATATACATTAGTCTCTTATACTTGTATAAATATTGTGTATATACAGTGTTCTTTTAAGGTCACTTATTAACTTATACTATGAGTTGTATTATGTATATCATACACTCCCCTCACTACTGTATCATACACTCCCCTCACTACTGTATCATGCACTCCTTTCATTACTGTATCATACACTCCCCTCACTACTGTATCATGCACTCCTCTCATTACTGTATCATACACTACCCTCACTACTGTATCATGCACTCCTCTCATTACTGTATCATACACTCCCCTCACTACTGCATCATGCACTCCCCTCATTACTGTATCATGCACTCCCCTCACTACTGTATCATGCACTCCCTTCACTACTGTATCATATACTCCCCTCATTACTGTATCATGCACTCCCCTCACTACTGTATCATGCACTCCCCTCATTACTGTATCATAAACTCCCCTCACTATTGTATCATACACTCCCCTCACTACTGTATCATACACTCCCCTCACTACTGTATCATGCACTCCTCTCACTACTGTATCATGCACTTCCCTCATTACTGTATCATACACTCCCCTCACTACTGTATCATGCACTCCTCTCATTACTGTATCATACACTCCCCTCACTACTGTATCATGCACTCCCCTCATTACTGTATCATACACTCCCCTCACTTCTGTATCATGCACTCCTCTCACTACTGTATCATGCACTCCTCTCATTACTGTATCATGCACTCCCTTCACTACTGTATCATATACTCCCCTCATTACTGTATCATGCACTCCCCTCACTACTGTATCATGCACTTCCCTCATTACTGTATCATGCACTCCCCTCACTACTGCATCATACATTCCCCTCGTGACTGTATCATACACCGTTCTGAAGGTACGGTGGACGATTAGGTGTAGGAGTGATTCACTACAGACATGTGTTAAGACAGGTGTTAACTGTATAGTGTATGACAGTTGTATGTGGTGGGGAGTCATACACACACACACACACACACACACACACACACACACACACACACACACACACACACACACACACACAGGAGCTGTGACTCGACCCCTGCAACCACAAATAGGTGAGTACAAATAGGTGAGTACACACACACACACACACACACACACACACACACACACACACACACACACACACACACACACACACACACACACACACACACACACACACACTAATCATTTGGATGATTACCTTATTTTCCATCTGTATGTATACATGAATGTTTCCTGTATGTATACATACACGCTCCGTGTGTATACATGTGTATACATGTGTATACATGTGTATACACTAGTCAAACTTTTTGTAAATATAATCTTTCTAAATCTTATGCAAATTTGTTCAGTTCAAAGCACTATGCTGAGGCTTCAAGACGGAGGTTTCCGGACATACAGGGATGCTAGAATCATTATTTGAAGGCTTCCGTCCACTGCAGACTTGCATACACAAGCGGAGGAGGTTTCATTTCTTGCCTGGAGGATTCCCTTCTTTCCTATTTTTAGTTCACTCAATTTCCCTTCCCATGAAGAGGTTATAGAAGGCTTCCTTCTCTCCCTCTCATGAGGTTTCCACTTAGAGCAGATCAGGGATTATTATTGTCAAGGATTCTTTCTTTGCCAGTCTTGTCCGGAGAACTGAGGAAGAGAAGGATTCCCTGGGGGGATGGGTTTCCGTGATGCCCTACACCACGTGTTCCGCTCCTTGAGGTTTTATTGGAAAGGTTTCATAGGTTGCGTGTTGAGAGGCTTCACAAGAATGTGTCACAGCAGAGATTTTATAAGACAGTTTTCACATGAGAGGTTTCACATGAGTGGTTTCGAATAGGAGGTTTCGCATGAGAGGCTTCACATAAGAGATTTCACATGAGGGGTTTCATATGAGAGGTTTCGCATGAGAGGTTACACATGAGAAGCTTCACATGAGAGGTTTCACATGAGAGGTTTCACATGATAGTTCCACAGACGGGGAGCAGCTACAGCAGCACACACACAGAGCTTCCGGAACCCCCACTTCCCGACTTGATCCCGTCTCTGTCAGAATCAGCTGTGGAAGAGAACGTCAGATATAGAAGTCATGGAAACTGTGAAGAACGTCAGAATCAGCTGTGGAAGAGAACGTCAGAATCAGCTGTGGAAGAGAACGTCAGAATCAGCTGTGGAAGAGAACGTCAGAATCAGCTGTGTGGACGAACGTCATGTGAGTTTATTACTGAACGACATGAACGAGGAATGGATGGGTGTAGTGAGGGTAAATGGGAGTAGATGGTAGGGGGGATTTGAATGTAGGAAGGGTAATGGTAAGGGATCTAGTGACGAGGGAGGGGTAGATGGTAGGGGGGATCTAGTGGACGGAGGGGAAGGGGGTAGATGGTAGGGGGAGATCTAGTGAATGGTAGGGGAAGGGGGTAGATGGTAGGGGGGATTTAGTGAACGGTAATGGAAGGGGGTAGATGGTAGAGTGGGATCTAGTGGACGGTAGGGGAAAGGGGTAGATGGTAGGGGGAGATCTAGTGAATGGTAGGGTAAGGGGGTAGATGGTAGGGTGGGATCTAGTGGACGGTAGGGGAAGGGGGTAGATGGTAGGGGGAGATCTAGTGAATGGTAGGGGAAGGGGGTAGATGGTAGGGGGGATCTAGTGGACGGTAGGGGAAGGGGTAGATGATAGGGGGATCTAGTGAATGGTAAGGGGGATCTAGTGAATGGTAGGGGAAGGGGGTAAATGGTAGGGGGGATCTAGTGAATGGTAGGGGGGCCAGCAACATATAATTATATAATCGTGAAATTTTTTAAAGACAATTAGAATTATTTTTAACTGAGATAATTATTAGAGACGATAATTCAGAATTATTTTAGCAGATGCTCATGCTAGAATTATTTATACACAACAATTTAATATAAGCGATTATTCAGAGCCACCGGATAAACAGGACAGACATACTGACCTGTGCACTGAAACACAAACACAAACTCAAACACACACACACACATACACACACACACATCTCACACACACACTCACACACACACACACACACACACACACACACACATACACACACACACACACACACACACACACACTCACACACACACACAGTATGAAAATTACATAGCATCGAAAATCAAGACTGACCCGAAACTGTTGTATAGCCACATCAGGAGGAAGACAACAGTCAAAGACCAGGTGATCAAATTGAGGACAGAAGGTGGAGAACTCACAAGAAATGATCAGCAGGTATGTGAGGAGCTAACCAGGAGATTTAAGGAAGTTTTTACAGTAGAGACAGGAAGGGCTGTGGGAAGACAGCACAGAAGGGAACATCAAGAGGGAATATACCAACAAGTGTTGGATGAGATACGAACAACCGAGGAGAAGGTGCAGAAGCTGCTAAGTGACCTTGATACCTCAAAGGTGATGGGGCCGGACAACATCTCCCCGTGG